TACTCACCTCATATTTTTCCCGTGAGATAAACGTCAACTTTCTCGGCCTGAACTGATGTTGGCAATGGAAACTGACTAAATGCGAGATCAAATCGTCTACACTGCTAAATGTCGATTGACAATGCGGATGCGCACATGCTAGTGTATCCGTAGACAATTTCTGAAATAAAGCAGTGATGGTGACTTTGAAAGCTCATAGTGGAACATTCAAAATTTTCATAGTGATTAAAACGTTTAATGGTAGAAACAAAAAAAGAGAGCAAAATAACAGGAAGTTGATAAGGTTGCCCTTGACATGCGCTCACGTAAGAGGCACCCCTTCCCGCTTTCCCTGCTGTTATTGATGCCTAGCTAGCATTTTCTAGGTAGTTAACGCGACTTATGTCACCTCTTGAAAAGTCACTTTTACTACTTTACCGTATCGTGTAACTCCCAACCTATAGCCATAGTAAAAGAGCCACTCGATATTCTGCACAATTAACTGAAATTTCAAATTGAGTGGAACAAGAGGATTTGACAGATTGACTAGGGAAAAGATATAGTTCTCTTTGATAGAGCGCGTCGGCTGCGTTTGGCGCTGCGCCAGTCCTTTTTTGCTACGACAACACTGCATAATATCGTTCGTATCAGTCGTTTTTCACCAGATGTTGTCGCTAACCCTCTTCAGCAACTAGCGGAGAACAGGCTGATGCCAAAACCAGCTGCGCTGACACGCCCGATCATCCGCAACAACCGAGACTGTAATACTACTGAGGTGTTGCAAGGTAGCGATGCTCAGCTCACCTTATTCTTCTTCTGAACACCGTGTGAGGTTGAAGGCTCAGCGCTAGTGACCAAAGGTGGAGGTTTCGTCTCTTCTGAAGTTGTATTTATCACAAAAGATATCACTGCAGAGAGAAACTCAGTGGTTTCGAAAACCTACTAGTGATGGAAGACGACTGCTCTACCTTTACATCACGTAACAGGGACTCCTCCTGCAACTCCGGAGATCGAGATTTCGACAAACTATGATCCTCTTGAATCGCACGAAGAGTCTAAATAATATTTGGTAAGCTCGCAGACTTCCCGAGATTCTTACATACCCTCGTCGCCATCGTCATTTCATCGAGCGGTAATTTGGAGACAACAAGTGTACCGATACCTTCATCCTGGAAAAAAAATCACACTACATAATCACTACTAAAAGATGTGCTGATTTATGGGCGGAACTGTTCGCTTCAGCCAAGTCACTCGAACCTGGATTTACCGGCTAGACACCTAATGGAGCACGAATGACACCACAAACAGCCGGCTTCTTCGCTAGGCTCATACAGGTACAGATATAGCGGCGAGCACTCTGAAAGAGGGGCGGCTCGAGTCTAAGTGAGAAAAAGCTCATCATTACTGATTACCTGTCTAAGGCAACATAACCCCGAATCTTACGGCACTACAGCTGGCACCTATGCGCAAACAGACTGACACTACATCGAATGGGACCCAACGTGCACCTCATGCTTCTGATAACAAACGAGAGAACAAATTTAGAATGAATGAACTCACCGCAAGTACTGGAGCGCGCTTCGATGGTACTGCTGCACCAGATTCCCATTCTTCGGTCCCCTTTTGATCCTTTGGATTCCTCAGGCCAACCAGAGGGACAGATGGGATACTCTCCGCTCTCCCTAAAACATTATATTGCAGTTAGTTAGTATTTGTTTAATGACCGCGAGCAAGGTACAAAGCTTGCTCAAATGAAACCATCAAGTTTTAAACAAAAGCTGCTCACCACGGCCTACTAATGTAATTCTGGGGGTTGTTCGAACCACTAATGGAGGCTTAAGGCTTGTAGTTGCCTTATTCCAGCGAGCAGGCATCTTTTGTATTCTACCTGAATCGATAATAAAAATCATACTAATATCGGAAATTTTTTAGATAGCGCCTCTATATTACCGTGGAGCCAACACTCAAAGAGTAGTAAACCACTGATGCCAACTACAAAAGAACAAAGCACAGCCTGCCTAGGTCGGATGCGGGGTGAAATAGATGCTCTGAAGATGCCGCCCATAAACCACTTTTGCCAGGGAATCGCAGGATAATGAAGGAATTAGGAAATCTGCAGATATTGCGACCAACGGTGTCAACTAGTTGCTAGTTGCTAGTTGCAGAAAAGAGCTAAAGAGCAGAGGAGTGCAGTGGTCACTCCACTAAGGGATCAGAAGACATCATATGTGCACAAATCCCCGCGAAGGCCTTCTAAGAAATACCCCGCGACTGCATCTTGTGGGCAGTGACGTTCAGTAACGAATCTATGGTCGCTGAATCTGACTCCATGAAGAAAGCAAAAAGAACCATCGAGAGCACCCCAAGTAACGATTTCCTGGCAGCTTCACTGTACGAGATTCTTGAACCTGCTCGCTTCATGACAGCAAAGGGGTTTCTTGCTGCCTCTGGCTCACTAATCGTGCCTTCGCATCACCTAATAGTAACAGTAAAAAAAGACAAAAACACGGTTCAGAGAC